AAAAAAAAAAAAAAAAAAAAAAAAAAAAAAAACATTCCGCTTCTGATCTTAAAGGAATAATCGCGGTTCGCCGTCTGAGGAGAATCAATTCTGAACTTCGTCGGAACCCCTCCGGGGCCAAGAGGCTCGAATCGGTGCACCGTAGTGCACCTGAAACGCGATTTAGCATTTCCCGGCGCGATTAAAGCGCGGCAGCTGGCAGCTGGCGTCCCGACAATCCAATCGACCCCAGTAAATGCTGATTTAAAGAGATTGTCAGGTACACGATGATCGACCGACGTTACACGAAGGAGTTCTCCGAAAACTCCGGAACGTCTTATCTAATTTGCTCCAGGCTCTGAATCTGTGTTCCGCTCTCTACGCGCTTATCGAATCAATTTCTAGTTCTTTCACAAGGGCTGGACTTTCCAACGACGGTTGGTTGAGCCTTCAAATTTCACGGACACGACAGCCGAACTCGGAGCGGGTTTTGCAGCGGTAAATCGGCTGGCTCCAGACACACGATCGAGAAAACGATCTCGCGGAATCTACGTTAACCGCACGGTAATTAATGGAAATTAAACTATCGGCGATAATAATGGAATAGCGCGACGACCTGGCGCTGCTCGCCGACTAGAGAGAGAAAGAAAGAGAGAGAGAGAGAGAGAGAAGAGAAGGCAAAGAACGCGGTAGAGAGCGGCGAAAGAGAGTCGGTGTCGGGTCGTCGTCGAGGAGAAACAAGAGAGACGCTCGCTCGTTCGCTTCGAGCAAAAGTGAGAAACTGGTAGCGTGTTTGCGAGCTCGGGCGCGACCGAAAGGAAAAGAGAAGTCGCGGCGAAGATGATGGTGAACGGAGAGAGAAAGAGGAAGATAGAGACAGAGAGAGAAAGAGGAGGGGGAGAAAGAGACAGAATGAAACGAGAAAGAGACGAAGCGCAAGAAGGAGGGAAAGAGAGAGAAAGAGACGGAGCGCGTTCGTTTGATCTCGCCGCCGCACGCGATTCCACACACGCGTACTTCTCGTCCCTCCGATGTGGATTCGCATGAATGCACTAACACATCACGCGATTTAAAACCTCTGCTTCCCCCTCCGCCCCGTTGCCCCTCACGATCCGACGTTTCCCCCTTCAGCCACCGCCAATCGACTCCGGACGCCAGCGCGGCGCTCCTGCACCTCTCTCACTCACTCTTTTTCTCGTCGCGGGCCAGCTCGCTCTCGCTCGCGCCGCGCGGCGGACACGCGTAATAAACACCGTGCAAAGCAACCCGGCGCTGAGTCGCCTATAATTTCTCACGGAAAATTATATGTTAATGCGCCCTTAATGGCGTCGTTCGTTAACGGGATCGCCGTGCTGGTCGACCCTGGCCGAGGGACAGAGAGAATGCCGCGCGACTCGGTCGAGAGAGAAACATCCCTTGCTCTCTCTCTCTCTCTCTCTCTCTCTCTCTCTCTCTCTCTCTCTCTCTCTCTCTCTCTCTCTCTCTCTCTCTCTCTCTCTCTCTCTCTCTCTCTCTCTCTCTCTCTCTGCACGTCCTGTCACCCGTCGAACGGCGATAAATCGCCACTCTGAACTGAGCGAGTCGAAAATAAATGATCGATCGAGTCGCGACAAATGCGTCATGTGCGAGGTGATTTTCCTCGTCGTTGGGCGCCGAAAACGTCTTTAAATCAACGTTTAAGTCGTGAAGGGGGTTAAAGCGAAAGTAACGGACACACATATGTGTGTGTGTGTGTTTCAGGAATCGTCTCCAAGCCGGAATTTGAAACCACGCTTCTGAGGTAGGAAGGTTTAAAAGACGAGAAACGACGGCGGATTATCGCAGAGAGTTTTTCCGCGTTTTACGTGCTTTCTTTTACGTCGGCTAAAAAATGCATAGCTCCCGCCTCGACGTTGATCGGTTTCGACGGGGGGCTTCTCTCTCTTGCGCAGCACGTTCCCGTCGACAAAACCCGCCATTGAAGCGTTCCTTACGCGGGATTAAGCGGGACGAGATTTGCCTCTTACCGGCGTTAAAAGATTCAGCGGTCCGGATAAGGAGGCAATAGCTTCCGCGCGCGGCCGTGCGCCGTCCCTTCCGGTGTACATCGCTGAAAAATTTATATGCCGCGCCCCGTTTTTGTCCCCGAGACGCACTCCGCGCGAGATTCGCTGTAATGGCCGCCGATCTGAAGTACCCGTGGGGTAAATCGCAGCACGAACTGTCGACCAATCTGATAGATCTGCACCTACTCTCAATTCTGCGAATTTTCGTGCGATCAGCTCGTTGCAGACGTGCTTTCGCGAGCCAGATGTGCACGTTGCTCATCACAAACCCGACGTGATATTATCATTTCAAAACGCAAGCCTTAGAAAATCTTACAAGGTTGCAGGATAAAGTAATATCACCGAGAGAAAAAGATGATTCAAAACTAAAATTAACTAAGAAGTAATAGCGAATTCGGTCACTCGCACTACACCGGATCTATGCATATTAAAGACTCTGTTACATATTGAAACAATCATAAGAAAGAATATCAGTATTTTGAATTATCAAATACCTAACAATAATATTATCACATTAATTAGCAGAATATACATTAACTGTTTCCACGTCAAAATCCTTCTGTTATGTCGTTGTGTTTTGATATTTTATGTATAGCAGTCTTCAGTGTGCACTGACCTGGTGTACTGCGAGTGACCGAATTCACTAGAACTAAAATTATCTTTGGCCCCGACTATATTAATATTTGTAGTAAGATGCTAAGCGATGACATGCATGCTATTGTCACTGACATTATAGTGAAACTTAGTAAGAAAAGCGGCTTGCTCGAGCACAATTCTGCCGAGAGAAAAGAGTAGCTTCGTTTTAAAATCAGCGGAGACATGAAACGTGCATTCGAACGGACGTTCGGAGAAGAGACGCCAATTTGTCAAAGAGTAACCTAAAGAGAAATGCCGAAAGTATCCTATTTAGCGCCGCGGGACACTGTGTACTTCATTGTGCGCGACGATCCTCGCCGGGCGCCCCTTCGTCGGCGGT